GAAAAATTTTCCCTGTGCCAGAAAAATCTATTTTACAGCCACCTTACGAAAATTGTAGAAAAATGTATAAAAATATTATGGACCTCCATTTTATGTCAAAATCTTTCTTAAGGAGTTATCTTTCAAGGAAAATTGGTTTCGTTGAAAACGAGTGAACGGTTTGTGAGAAAATATGATTTTCGTAACGGTCGACGAATCTGGATAGAGCTAGAGTATTTCTGAAATAACTAAAAATCTGGAAAAGCTATTCCATTTCTGAAAAATGTTCTAAAAACTAGATACAATTCCCTATGAACCATAGGAAGGCCGGGCTCTGGAAAAATTTGAAATAGCCCTTTTGAGTATAATCTTTAGGTAGTACTGAATCTGGAAATTCTGTTTTCATTAATGTTTTATGCTCTTGTGTTCATGAATATGCTTATTAATTTATGATCATGTCTCGATATGATATTTCACATGTCATAGGTTTATGTATTTTATTTTAATCCTTCGATGGTGCTCACACTTATGCAAATCTGGAAATTATATTCATGTGCGAATTTATTCACTTAACTACTTGAATATGCCTAGAGCTACTTGTGCCTATCTTCATATGTGAATCTCATGTGTTGTAACCTTATTTCCTTCTATTTGTACTATTTAGTTGTTCAAACTTGTGCAATAGATGTTATTTCAAGAGCATGTCCTAACTCTAACTTAAAATATCTAACTCAAACGGGAAACTTAATGGGTGGTAATGGGTTGCATATTTTTGGACAAGATTACTAAGATATTGATTGGTTGACGGGATGTGTTCCCTATGTGGAAGTTAAAATCTTACGTAAGTGGTTTTCGGAACCCTTGAATGGAGTGGTTGTATTCGGACCCTAGGTATTTGGTATAGGGAAGGACTTGGGCAAGGTCCATTATTACTGTCTCTTTTGAGGCCTTGCGGTTGGCTCTACGTGGTATATAACTGTTGGTAGGCATCCGAGGTTAGGTCTACAACAAAGTAACAAAAGAAGGGGCATACCGAATAATCCGCGTCCGATTCTTGTGGTTAGGAGGACGAAGTCTCTTTGGGGGATTTCTAGATTTCTAACATCTAACCTTGTAATCCTTTATTATTGAATGATTATCATGCTTCATTACTTGTTTGTTATAATTGTGATGATGTATTGGATTGGGAAAATAGGATGGGGTGTGTGTGCGTTTACTGGGCATTCAAAACTCATGGCGTTTTATGCCAGGTATCGAAGAAACGTACGAAGCCAACGAAGAGTCAAAGTCATTTGAAGACTTAAGTTTTCCTCAAAGAAAGTTTGGAACCATTTTGCTCATTAGTCTAATTGTGCTTTTATTTATTCTTTTTGGATTGTAATAGTAATGGAACTCGTTTTGTAAATTTAAAAATTTGAGACGCTGTAATTATTATTTACTTTGTAATCCTATGCCTATCTCTGCGTTGCTTATGAGACCTTGCGTCAATGCCTTCTTAGATCTGTCAAAAGGGTGGTGCGTTACCTAAGAAAGTTGGACTTAGAAGGGAGGCTAACTGTAATAACTCTCACCACTGATTACTGATTAAGCTACTGATTACTGCTAAACTGAGACTGATCATGATAAGTAATTGAGCTGACTGAAAAACTGAACTGATTGATTGAATGTGCTAGTTTAAATGCATATCTATCTGTTGACTGTTAAACTATCTGTTTATGTTTTATGCTTTAAATTGCAAATTGAAGGCCTTATCGGCGGCCGAATCTGAAATTGATTATTGATATGTGTTAATCATAATTTATGTGATTTTATGGTGTATTTACCTGAAATGTGATTTGGTATGATTTAATTAAATTAAATAAGGATAAATTGTAATAGTTGACTTAATTACCACTTTGCCACCTAGTGGCCCACCTCATACAAAACATATTGAGCTTCATTACATTCATACCAAACATTTCATCAGCCTTTTTCCTTGAGAGCTAGCCGACAAAGAGTGAGAGAGAGTGAGAGAATTGGGTTCAACTTGATGGTTTGCTTGGAAATTGGAAGAATTGTTAGAGAATTTGCCAAATTGAGCCTCTAGACTTGTGATTGGAAACCTAAGGTAGAGATTATAACCCTTGGTTTTATGTATTTAAGTTGTATCTTCATGAATCATGGAAATTTAGTGAGTTAAAGTCTAGAATTGATTCTCTATGTTGAATTGAAGCTCATTTCATGCATGCATGCCTATATTAAGGAGTTTAAAGTTGTTTTCATGGAAAATTGTCACATGCATGTTCATATTTTTGCTAAGGACCATGAATTTATCTTGTTTTGAAAAGAATTGGCTCAGTTGAGCTAGCATTTGAAACTTTAAAGTGTTTAAATTCTTGCATGTTCCATATTAGTCTTGTCCATAAAAATTGGTTTGAAATTGAGTTTCATTGAACTACCTCTGGGCTTTGATTTATCAAATTGACCTTTGAAACATGTTATATTATGAGTTTTGAAGTGTTTCCAGAAAATTAGCCCAAAAGGATCGAATTTAGTACATTAAAACTTGGTTTTGAGCTTGAGGTTCGAATCTGAAATTTCCAGATTTTGGACTCACGCTCGAGCGTGAAATTCATGCTTCCAGCACTTTGCACTGTTTTACAGTCCGCTCGAGCGGGGTATTGGACGCTCGAGTGAGGACTTGTGTCGCACGCTCGAGCTGGTATTGAGCGCCCAATCGAGCGTGATTTTCACACATCCAGTACTTTTTCAGTACGCTCGAGCGGGTATCGAGCGCCCAATCGAGCGTGATTTTCACACATCCAGTACTTTTTCAGTACGCTCGAGCGGGAGAGTTTACGCTCGAGCAGAGGCTTTTGTTTGCATGTCCGCTCGAGCGGAGAATCCCACGCTCGAGCGAGACCCCTGTTTTCTGAAAATTCTGAAAATGTTTTTAAAGTGCATCTTTGCATCCTCATTCCATTTTAGGCATTCTTAGGCCTAGTTTAAGGCATCTTGATAAGGATATTGAGGTAGAACCTCACCGAGTCAAGATAGGGATTAAGTTATTATTTTCCCAACTGTGTAGCTTAGTGTGTGTTCATTCTGCAACTGTGTAGGATTGGCTTTCGGAGACGCACTCTAGATTATATGTAGCCCAGAACTCTGTGAGTAACAATATTGTAAAGATATATTCGAAAATGAATATTTTCTGAATGATCAATTGAACTGTTTTCTGAACTGTTTACTGTTAACTGAATGAATGTTTGTCCTTTATTCTGAACTGTACTGTGGCATCCTTAGCAACTACCGTTACCGTTACTGTTACTGTTACTGCTACTATTACAGAGATCTCTGTCGGTTCCCATGTTTGGAACCATTACTGATGGCCGTCATTGACTATTCGGTCTTTTAAGACCTACTGTTTACTGTACTGTTCTGCTATTGGATGTTATGACTGAATGACTGTTTTCTGTACTGAAAGGACATTCATTCTTAACCTCTTTACGCATTATGTTATTCACTGGCTTTAGTTCACTACTCATATATATATGTACGTGTACAGGCACCGGACCGTTGCTAGAAGCGTCAGGGTAAACTCCAGTTTTGTCAAGCCAACTACTGTGCCTCACTGCGAGGTTTCGAGCCTGTCAAACCAGGACTTTTGGGGGGTTTTAGTTCCCCCTTTTTGTATTTGTTATATAACTACTGTTTAGACTGAATGATGTTGCACTGTACTGTTAACAGGGATTAAGTCCCTGTCCTGAATGATTGTATATATTGTACATACTGTCTTGGTACTAATTGTATATGTGCACATGAATGACAAGTATTTTTGCATACAGATTGTCACAGTTCATTGGACATTGTCTATTTACTGTTTTGGCTTCCGTCATGCCCCTGTACTCTGTATTATTGTTTGACTGTTAAGCAGGCCTTCGGTAATCACGAATTACTGGCTGGTTACGGTGCTAAACCCATAGGGGCGGGTTTGGGTCGTGACAGAATGGTATCAGAGCGATACTAAACCACGAGTTATACCGCACACACGTGCACATGAATGACAAGTATTTATGCATACAGATTGTCACAGTTCATTGGACATTGTCTATTTACTGTTTTGGCTTCCGCCATGCCCCTGTACTCTGTATTATTGTTTGACTGTTAAGCAGGCCTTCGGTAATCACGAATTACTGGCTGGTTACGGTGCTAAACCCATAGGGGCGGGTTTGGGTCATGACACTAACTTGACTTCTCCGGCGATCTGGGATCTTACTCGGTTATTGGTCATAGGACTCATTAGTGCCGTTTCCTAGACTCCTAACCTTAGATAAACCCTGTATTTAATTGATAATATATTCTCTGAAGTTCGCAATTTTTGGGGCGTCACACGGCGTTTTCTACGCTCGAGCATCTCTTTTTGCGCTCGAGCGATTTGTCTGTTGTCTACAAAAGTACTGGAGGCATGTATTATGCGCTCGAACAGGCCTCTTCTTGTGCTCGAGCGGAACAACTTATTGTGTTTGACGCTCGAGCATCAACTCTTCCGCTCGAGCGGACTGTGCATATATCAAATTGCGAAAATCACTTTTTACATCACTTTTTTCAGATCTTTTCTTCTAAAAATCCTAAAGTGAGACATTTTCTCTCTAAAATACACACTCTCTCTACTTTTTCTCCTTGATCCATTGATCTCTTTGCCTTAGTGTCTTTAGAAAAAGAATAGAGCATCTTGGGTATGGATGGCAATTTGAACTCAGCCTGACGGGGCCTCGATCCCCCAACCCCCATTGGAACGGGTTTTCCCCGAAAATTATCCCCATAGGGCCGGGAATGGTATTGAAAATTAAATCCCCGCCGGTTTTCGGGCCAGGGACGGGGATTGGTTCCCTCGGCCCCGTTCCCGAATTATCCCCGAATACTCCTTGAATATTCTCTATATATATATGTTTGAGTTGAGTCAGTCTGCCTCTCTCACACACTCACATTCATTTCTCTCAAGTCTGCCTTTGCCTCTCACTCTCCCTCTCCCCCTCTCTCACTCACTCTCTCTCTTTTTCTCTCTCTCTCTCTCTCTCTCTCTCTTTCTCTCTCTCTGCATAGCACGATCTCCTACCTCCTATCATTGTCGATCTCCCTCCTCCCGTCACCGTCGATCGCCGTCGTCCCTCCATCGCTGTTGTCCCTCCTCCCCATCATTATCGTCCCTCCATCACGGTAATCTGCGCAACTGCTCCATTACTGCTGTCCCTCCTCCCATCATCGTCAAATTTCTGTCCCTTCACCATCGTCTCTCTTTCTCTTTGAATGTGTTAAACTTTTTATTTTTTATTTTTTACATTTTGAGCTCAAATCTGTTTGTCTCTCTCTCTCTGAATGGGTGTGTTGTTGTTGTTGATGATGATGATGAATAGATGATTGTTGTTAATGAATACATATTGTTGTTGTTGATGATGAATATATGCACATTTGAGCTCAGATTTGTGTATTTTTTTTTTTTTTTGGCCGAGGAATTCTCGGGGTCGAGAAAACCCGATCCCCGTTAGGGGCCAGGGATGGGGGCGATGATAGGCTCCCCATCGGGGATCAGGGACGGGTGCGGGGAAATTTCTACCTTCGGAGATCGAAGACGGGGAGTGGAAGTGTGGTCCCCGGCCTCGCCCTGGCCCGTTGCCGTTCCTAATCTTGGGAGCTTCACTTTGAACCAATTGAAATTTGGTTTCGGCGTCGTTGGAGTTTCGTGCTTACTCCATTTGTCTTCTAAACTTAGGAAGTAAGGGTTTGTCCCTGAGAGAGGCAACGAACGGTGAGTTGGCTGTGGTAGATGGTTTATTCTGTATGTTCTGCATGACTCCTTGGAGTTGGAGCTTTATGGTTCGGAGTTTTACATCCTAGAGAGAAACGTTGTTAGCACCGGAATGCAGCGGAGGCTGGACACTACTGGCCTCTCCCTCGAGGGTGGGTGCCTGGACCGATGAATGTGGGGCCCGGGGTGGCGGGTTCATATCTGGGGGAGGGGGTTGCAAGCCTTCCAAGTTTGGTGGGTAGGGCTGTTGGATAGGATGGCTCGGGGCTCGTTCTTGGTTAAGTGGGATATCTTGAAGTGAATGAGGAGGGACGGGAAGGTCTCTTTGAAGCAAAGCATTGATCAGGACTTGGTTATGCTCTGTTAAGTGGTTGATGCTGTTGGTAAGTTCTGTGAAGTACTGCGGCGGATTGTTTGGATTGGGAGGGTCAGCTTGGTGTTCGGCAACATTGTGGTGAGAAGCCATGGATCTAGTTGTGACCATCCACCTTGGTGGGTGGCAGGAAGGGGTTATTGGGAAAGGGTCTCCGGTGACAATGAGCACAATTGGCACGCAGAGCGAAAGGTTTCCCACAGACGGTGCCAACTGATGATACAGCGTATTCTAGATAGAATGACTCGGATTGATCCACGCTTCCCAAATCGATGCCCGAGGTACCAAGCCCACAGAGAGACCTGCACAAGAGTTCAACGGGAAACGGGGAGTCCTCCAGCGAACCCTCCGACGAGCAAGTTAGAAAGAGAGATGGAATGTAGAGATAGATTAGTGATGAAAAAGCTTAACCCTTTCCTTGTCTTCAATGCCTGCTTATATCTTCTGCTAGTCATTTTGTTGTCCTTTCCGACCTGTCACCTTGGCCGAAAGTCTATGCTCTAGTTTACCTTATTCATGGTAAGGCTGTTCTGTCCCGACGGGGAAGGGTTATCGCAATAAATGCTGCAGGAAAACTCATTAATGGCTGATATGTGGTGCAATAACTTTACATGATCTTTGTCTGCTGATGTGGGTGATTCTCTACTTGCCAAGTGTTTAGATGTCATTGGTGTTTGGTGTAATGCTGGGTTTCACGAGTGTTAAGTTTTAGTATTTGAATCATGGATTGGATCTTAGGTTTTAGGTCATATCCTTTATGAGTGTACCTATGTCAAGTTTTATCGGTGTCTTATATTACACTAACTAATTACTAATCACGTTTATGTGTCATGTGTTGTTTATTAACTCGTGTAGTTTAATGTCATGGAAGAAAGCGCGTGAGAAAATCCAAATATGGTCATCCTACATATTATACTTTTTTTTAGTTACACAATATTTCCATTCGTAATAATATAGTAATATTCGTATTTAACACATGATGTACTATCACAACTAAATTTCTTATCTATTTTTGTGATATGAATATAATAAAATCATATAACTACAATTGTCGAATTAATTTAAAATTTTATTTTTATGAATGATTAATTCGTTAAAATTTGGTTCGGAGTGTGTCTAAAGAGCTAGAACTAAATTTATTGGATATTAAAAGATAATAATTTATTAACTTATTTGGATCACATCATTCTTTTCTTTTTTTTTACATATATTTTCAAAAAAATCAATAAATAAATCACTTCCCAAAATTGGCCAAAGGAAACTGTTAACTATTATACCTCAAAGGAAAATAAATAAAATAAATTGCCAGGCCAGCTTGTCCCACTGTAGATATTTCTACCAAAATATTCTAACTATGGTGTATTTTGAAAAGTAGATTAAAAGTCACTTCTCAATTTTTAACCCATTTCTCTTTTTCACAAAAAAATTAAAAAATAGCTTTTAATTATTTTTCCAAAACACCCCTATATCATGTGAGGTGGTCAGAGAAGAATAACCATGGTCTTGCAGCTGCCTGGCCAATAGAACAAAGAATGGATGAGATAATCACCACTCTGGTTTGTCAAAACTATAAGATGCATTCATGTATGCAAGACCTTAGCCTTCCCTCACAATATAATCACTGGGAAAATATCAGGAAGTCCATGAAAATGACTGAGATGCTCAATGTTAGTGCCCAACCAGCTTCAAGCCCATTGAATGCTCAAGGCAAAAATTCAATTGGGTCATTTTATAATTTTTCATTTTGTTAATTTTTATTTGAAATTCATAATATCTACAATCAAAATAATTTTTGTGTGGGTGATTTTTCGACCACACTGTCCGCTTAGTAACCAGCTGAAGAACACTGACAGAATAGATGGCACCTGACTGACTTGTAACAGAAATATAAGAATCCCGTGGTGGTTTCAACCACCCGGGGGCACTCCGACGATCAAGTCAGTATATCTCTCAAAGATAAATCAAGTACTAAACTCACAAGCTTGAGTATCAAAAGCATACCTTAGACCCATGGGGGTGCCTTTCTTTTATAGCCAATACAATCCTAGTCCCAATAGGAGCCTGGCCCTAATGGACTTAGGATTACTGCTAATCTGGGACTCCCAGTGGGATTAGGATAAACTCTCTAAGAGTCTTATCTTTACCCAAACTGAAATCTTCTCCCAATCTAGGACTCTTGTCCATATCCAAGTTGAGTTCCCTCTTCATTCTAGGACTCTTGTCCCTTATGAATGACTGAACCACTTTCCCCAAAACCTCCTAACAACAAATCTCTTCGCTTCTCCGGTAAACCAACAGACTTAGTCCGTGTTAGAATCGGAATGGCCTTCGTTGGAGGACAATGCCAGACATCAACATTATCATTAGTATATTTTTTAGATAACACAACAATAGAGGGGGCCCTCATTTGCGAATCTTCTGGCATGTCACTCGTAGAATACTTCAGATACCCCTTCATTTTACAATACGTAACCCCCCTTTTAATATTGGAATTTTCAAGTCGATACTTCACCATCCATGGCACCTGTTTGTCGTTAATTGAACAATAACCATTCCCATAATACACTAACTCGCATTGACAATCTACTGGGAAAATAAACCATGCCTGCAAACTGTGATTACCGTCTAACCTCCGATCATAAATATTTACTCTGACCAACCCACTAGCATTGGGTGCGCAAAAGGGAGAATATTTTATCAATATTTTATCAACCTTAATACTTTTTTGTTTGTATCTTAACCTCAATTGAGAAAATAAATTAGGCAACGCAAGTTCAATACAACTGAAATCACTTGCCGAAACACCTTCAACAACCCCAGTTTTTATATCGTCCACCTCCATTAACCTGAACATTAAAAATAAAAATACATCAAATTACAATTCTAAACAGTTTTAAAGTACATTTGACTCCTTAAAGTAATTTTGCATTCCTTTCCACTAACAGTAGCAGCCACTAAATATATGGCACCCTTTTGAATGCTTCCAACATTTCCCAACAGCGTATCTTTGTAGTCCGTCCAAACATCAACTGGGAAGAACCGGTCTACAACTTCTATCCCGTGACGAACGTACTCTTTGTCCTTGCCACCAACGAAGCTTGAATCTCATTTTCTTTAGCATCCGAAAACGGTCAGGACTGGTCAGAGATCAACAATCCAGTCTCAGGATTACCCTCGCCAACTCCAATAAATTCTGTCAGGTGTAGGGCGGAGTCTGACGGACTATTATCACTGATGACAAAAAACAACACGTGGTGGACCACAGCTCGTCCTAGCATCCCGTCCCAATTGAACATTACCATATGAATTTTTATACCGCTAACCTCGATCGTTGTCTGATTGAACGGTCAATCTCTTATTACCCAAACTCTTTTTAATTACCATTAAGTAAATTCCGCCACTCCTTAATTATCAAACTTAACGCCCTAATTGCATCGTTAGCTGTAAATTTCCCTTTACTCCCCTCTAGTCTCTTAATAAATCGGGGAATATTCTGAACGTTACCGTCTGCGAACATACTGGGTCTTAAAAGTGCACGACTACGGTAACTACGCCTATATCCACTGGCCGCCAGGTTCCTTGACCTCCGGGTACGCCAGGGGTCGGACATGGGCTGCTTCCTATTCTTCCATTTTTAAAATACTCCAAATTCTTTTATACGAAACACTTTTACAGGATCTTTACCTCTGCTAACCCTTCGGTTCATACACCTGTAAGCTTGATATTTTGCCCTCTTGATCATTCGTACACCGAACTACTTCACCGGAGCTCTCCGCCGCTCTCCCACAGTCCTAGTTGCCACGGTCAAAAAAGCGATCTACACACATTTGATGTGAACTGCCCTAATTCTCGGGATACTCTTCTAAGGAGTTGTAACAAAAAACATTTTTTTGGTTATACCAAA